CCTGGAACTTAAGTGGCCCGGCGTGCGGCCTGTTGCTTGGTCTACAAGGCAAGCGCTGCGTTTCCTGATGTAGCAGGTCATTGGCTGAGGCTAGCAGTAGTCACTGATGGTATATGACATATGCATTCGAACACTAGTGCTGCAGTGGAGGTGTTGCGAGCATCGCTAGCCCAACAACATAATGAGAGCGATCTTAAGAAGTTACGCATGCATCATCAACTGTTGGAACCCTAGAAGTGGCCGTCTCTGACCCTGGTGGCGCTGCATGACTGGAGGAAGCATGTGTTGTACACACCTGCGCCTAACTCAGGCCACTGGAACTAGGCATCATGCTAGCAAACCTACCCTCAGCTGCAAGAGGAACAGGAGAAGCAATAGCAACAGTCTGCTCAAATCTGGAGTTGTGCTGCTATCTACAGTCCTGCAGTACATGCCTGTGGCTGGAACATGCCGGAAAGCTGACAGAAGCGCGCACACGCAACCTACGAGTCACTTTGCATGTGTGCTTTTAAGCGATACGCTTCTAGTCTAATTTCTATTCAAGTAGACTGCTGACGTGCAGAGTGGTAGATTTCTGAAGCCAGAGTTGCATGTGCCATCGCATGATATGGGTTCTAAGAGCGGTAGCCTCGGTCACGAATCACCCCCTCCCTACTCGACACTTTCAAGCAGCTTCAACTGGGACGAAGTCCTAGTTTTCATTCGCAACTGCCGGCCTTGTGGCTCTTGGTAGCGGGGAAGTCGTTCCTGCTGCGACTGCTTGGCGCCGCTAGCCTCAGAAGACGGGCTGTTTGAAGGGGACGTTGCTGCCATTTGCCTTCATTGAACAGTGCGGAGACATCGCAGTGCAGACTGCAAGATTTTTCTATCAATTCGGAGCATGTAGCCTGCCCTCAGGTCCCTGAGATTGCACAGGCATGCTGCTCAGCACCAGCTTTTCGATGCATTCTGCACACATAGCCCAGTGATGTGCCCTGAATCAGGTTTGCATCTACTTTATCTTGCAGCGCTCAGACTTTGGTAAATAAAGCGGTCATTGTGTGGTATGACTGACCGAAGGGCGCATTTTTTGACCCGTTCTCGTGCTGCAGACTCCGTTGTGCTTGCATCTGCAGACTTGGGCGTCCCGGGAAGCCTCCGAGCTACTCCTCTCCATCGGCGCGAGAGGCACCCCTGAGTGAATAAGAGAATTCATCAAAGCTACTTTGCAAGATAAGCTGATTATTTTGCAAAAAGGAGCCTATCCTAAGGTGCTGGGACAGAGTCGCATTATCTGGAACGTGGAAGGCACCTTCGTTTCAAGACTCTGCATATGCAAGCAGATTTCAGAAAGCCTGGGAAGATTATCTTCCTAGGCCCCAAACCTGGGACTCGCCTCCCCCCCCTCCCCCCTGTACTTCTCGTTACGGGGCTTTTCGATCGGGATGTGACTCAGGAGAAGATCCCGTAGACAGGGGCTTGAGGGATGAAAGGGAAGCAACCGGCTGATGAGTAGGCGGTCTGGCCTTACTATCCTCCACACCCCCTGCGGCATGAGCTGCAGCTCCCCTTCATGGGATCCAAGAAGGCTCAGAAGAATTCAGCCGTCCGCAGAAGAGGGGGCCTCCTGGGCTTGCTTACGTACTTTAGGATCTGCTTTTCTGCATCTCCGTTGACCCTGAATGTCCGTGTGCCTTGCATTTATCAAGGCATTTCTCCGCTTGCGTCTTGGTTTCTCTGTTGCTCGGGCTGCAAGAGCTGGGAAGCCGCTCCAGACCCTGACATTCGCTCGTAAAAAAAGAATCGAGAAGCTTCAAACGGGGGGAGGGGGGTTCTGTCTTGATTTCAAGCTGTGGGTTTCGTGGGTACAAGTAGCTAATAAAGAAACACATCTACGCATCTTGGGGTTCTAGGGCCTGCTGATGTTTCAGCGAATCGTGCAATGCTTTCCCCGCGGACAGAAGTTACAAAGACCTTTTTCCGGGACTTGGATGCATGCCTGGCAGCAATTGTGCCTGACTGCAAGATGTATGAGTCTTGGCAGAAGTGTTGAGATGTCGCCACGCACTATTGCAACTCGGCCTTTGCTGCAGCGCAAGAGCTGCCTGGGAAAGCAACTACACCTGCAACTAGCCGCGGCCTCCGAGGTGCCTGAAACGTCTTACCGCATCATGCCAGAAAAGTAGCAAGGGGAAAACATCAGTTTTTTGGGTGCTTCGGAGGTCTGTCGGGCTTGAATACTGAAGAGCATTTGCAAAGCTGTGCCTCGGTGCTGAAGAAATCTGCCACGCCGCACTTAAGTGCCTCGCTGCAAGTCGCAAGATTTGAGTCCAAAGCTCCAACTGCCAAAAGCTGGCTGCACAGTGAAAAGCCAGCTTGGAGTCCAACTGCCGTGCCTGTGGACGCTTGGATACGCTTGTGTATTCAGCTGTTAGGCCCTATCACCGTCAGTCGCCTGACGAAACACATCAATCTAAGCCAAAGCATGCGTGGGGCCAGATGCTCACAAGATGGTTTGGGTTCGGGGTCGGGTGGTTCGGGGTAGGCGCTGGAAAATAGAATTACAACCAGGTAAGTCAGGGAGCCTAATTCTTCCAGGAGACAGACAAAACCCTCGCGCAGGCTTTGCGGTTTGGTCCAACGCCCATACGAAGCGTAGCAACTTTGAAAGGGCATTATTATCTATGTATTAGTACTCTGAGAGGAATGTCATAGTTTGTTGTTTAGCTAAGACCCTGAGCTTACGGCCAGAAATCAAAGATTCGAGGAGGCCGCTCTTAGTTCCCACCCTAGGTAGACAAGATCTTTACTGCAATTTACCGAGGCGGATTCTCGCTCTGACTTGCCGAAGGAAAGACACTTTGGCACGCAGACATTGCTGTTAAGCAGCTTCACAGTCTAGACTCTATAGACTCCAGACATTACACTCAGAAGATTAACCAAACACTTCGAACTACTCAAGCAACCATGGGGTAATCCAATCCCTGATGGCTGATACTGCTGCAGGCTTCTTCTTCAAGGGGCTGTTGTCCCTGATTTGCTGCGAGAATGTCGCACACCCATCTACACACGAAGCTTCTCTGGGAAAGTGGTCATTCATAGAGTGGTTTCCAGCTGTTCTCCATTTTGGGTAGAGGTTCTGTTCTGCTTTCTGTACAGGTAGCGAGGCAGCTCATGTAGGTTTCGTGGGTGGCGTGACTCTCAGAAGTTCACAAGGTTTGCACCATAAGCTACGGAGTTGGCAAAGGCAACCCTTTCAAATTCCAATTATCCAAAAGCTTTGGTGGAGGAAGGATGAGATTTCCAAACTCAATGCATCCCATCCAGAACCGAAGGGGCATTGGCTTGTAATCCAACATTTCAACAAGTGCTACTCGAGCCGGCGAGCCTTCTCCTTCGTTTCATGAGCAGATTCATTTCATTTGAGGCTTGGCGTCCAGTCATGGCCATTTATCTTTTTGCATGTGCTGGTAGCCGGTGCCGGATGAAGTTGGCAAATGCTTAGGACGCGAAGCTAGACCAAACCAGTCTTCCGATGATCCCGTGGCTGAGGTCGACCCCTCAAATTCCTGCCTCACTATGGCAGAAAGCTGCAAGAGCGTTAATGAGTCGCAGCCCCAATTTCAGATGGGTCTGCATTCCAAGGCACTGTTCCTTTGCGGAAGGCCCCTCGTGCTACTGTAAGTCTGCAACATGGGATCTCAGCTTTCTAACGGTTCCAGCTGCCCATGAGCCTGTCTGCACGACCTCTGACGCTTGATCTGTGTGCATGGCCCGATTGCTTCTGCAAGAGTGAAGGGAGCAAGGGAGAGTCAACCCCGTAAGAGTCTGCAGCTTCAAGCTTGATGCTGCTGTCAGTTCTAAGAGTCAGTTTCCTCAGCAGCAGGCAGGAGTAGCCCGCATGCATCACCAAGGTGATGAAAAGAAAGACGAGGACGTGAAGCCTGACGATGGCAAAGGAAATGACCAGGAAGCCAGGGCTTGAATTTGAAAATACGCAGCCGCTTAGATGCTGTAGCTCACTCAGATTGTTGTCAGTGCTTTTATCTGCCAGTATTTGCCAGTGACCAGCAGGACCGCAAGAAGGAAAGGGAAACGGCCCTCGAACAGGCTGGCCATTCTCTTCCAGCAATGCAATACGTCACGACTGGGGTGTCATTGGACATACTTTCGCTATTGCCGTCACTGTTGTCTTCGTCGTACGTGGTGGCTCTTGTTGCAGTTGATGCTCTCGCTTCTTTTGGTGGTGGTGGTGGTGGTGGTGGTGGTGGTGGTGGTGGTGGTGGTGGTGGTGGTGGTGGGGGGTAACGTTGGCTTGAGCATAGAAAGGAGTTCTCAACATGCCAGTATTCAGAATTTCCATGCATATTGTGAAAATCTACGCGCATGCGCAGGCGCAGGCAGCGCGGGCAGCAGCGCTTCCAGCCGCGAACCCTGCAGAGTCATCATGGGTTCGGCAGAGTTTCTGCGACTGTCTTAGGCTTTAGACGATAGACGGCTAGAGTGATGTTGTTTGGGAAATGATCTAGGTTCTCCCAGCGTAGTGGAAATGGATAGACATCGAGAATCGGAAGTGGCAGATGTTGGGTGATGTAGTCCTGGAGCGAAGACACGAAAGCAGCTAGAGACGTGAAGTGGGCCGCGATATGCAATCCGGAACAAGTGTCTGTTTTGCTGAGCATTCTGAATGCCGGGGTTGTCCATGCTCATGCAAATATTCATCGAGTGGGATCATGTCTAAAGCGACCCGCTGACTGCGACTTGGGAGACTTCAGGAGTAACAGAAAGGCGGAGTGTGATTCTTGCAATCTCCGCTATATCCAAGGTATGGGCGTGTTGATTCTCATTCCTGCTGGTGCTTGGATTGATATTTTCCTTGCTGTCAATCCCACGTCGTAGGCAGGCATTGGCTTCATTGGCTCGTGGAGAAGGTCAGTAGGAACCCTAAGCTGTCGCATGCTGTCGCCATGCCTTGCTGCGGGCCGCCCAGCGGGGCGAAGGTTTTCAGCACCGGCGACTGGATGGATTTGATGCCCAGCTTTTGGGGCAGAAGCTCTGCCTTCGTTGGAAGATGTTGAGCCAATGGCTGGGGTTTGCTGAAGCTATGCGGAGAAGTAGCTTGCATATCTTCCAGTAATGTGTACACACAGTATTCATGACCCAGGCGTGGCATCTGGTGGAAACCTCAACCATCTTCATGCAGTCCAGCTGAAAGGCTCGGGGCGCTTGCGATGGTTTGGGCGCAGCCCTCTGCATCATGTTGCAATAAACACTGTCAACTTCATACTGCTGGGGGGCAGCAGGTTCACTCTCTGGTAGAATGCCTTGTCACTAGGACCTGCAACGCTTATCCCCTGTTGCCAAGAGAGGCCCGCGGCTGGACATGAAGCGCTTGCGTGTGGCTCTGGATCGCCTCCAAGCGCAGCATCCGCGGCTCAGGGCGCGCCTGTGCTTTGATGCCTGTGGTCAGCACTACTTGGTCCCTTGCTGGAAGAAACATTTTTTTTTGGGGGGGGGAAATAGCAGCTTGCGTGGGAAATGACCTGGATTTCTCTGCGGAATCTCGGCAAGGGTCGCTTCAGGCTCAAAGTAGAAGTAGTCAAGTCCTTGCGGTGTCACCACCAGCGCTTGCGAGTTGGACTTGGCACGCCAAGCGGCGCTAAGGTGGAGGACAAAACGCCACTGCCAATCTACGAGAAAATGGGGCAAGATCTGGCCACGATGAACCTGGATTTGGAGGCTGCTCTCCTGATTCCTGGCTAGAGAACACTTCATCCCAAAATGGGCGGTGTCCTCCTTTCATATGCATTCACGAGGCAACACTCAGTTTCCTTAAGGACCCACATGGAACCTCATCCGTCAGTGTTCGTTACGTACATCTGGTGACGTGGCTGCAGAGTTTCAGGATCCTGAGCTTTGCGCATATGACGCAATGCCATGCTTGATGCCAGAAACAAGCAAACCCGAGGTATGGTGATGCTTTGCAACGTGCACTGCTGCTCGTGGGTATGAGGTACCGTCCTTAGGGGTGACGAATGCAAGCAGACGTCCCTGACACGCTTCTAAAGGTGTTTATGTGTCTGGTTGGCCGCTAAGCAGAAAGATATTTGAATAGGGTATGTCATGGAGGTTATATAAGAACAATAATAAAAACCAATATCATATTCGTTTAATTTCATAGGGACCATGGAAATGGAAACTGGTTGGATTGCGGACCGGCTCCCAGTCCAATCGCTCAGGGTTCGATCTAATTGCCTTAAGCGGCACTGCGAAAAGACTACGGAAGACTCCTGCTGAAGGTGGTGGTAGTGACCTGAAGCACCGCTTAGATTTGATATCAGTTTGATGCGGGATCCACAATCCACAGTTGCAGCTAGAATCTAGCAAGGTTGAGCTCGTCCTCTTTCCAGCCCCTTCCCGTATGATATGTGAGCTTCTAACTCAGTGGAACTCCCTGGCAGGCATGGCCCGGGAGATGGCCGTGCAGTGGAGATCGCCCTTTCGCAGCTTGGCCAAGTGTTTGTTGAACTTGAGTCGGGAGCTTGGATGTAAGCCCATAATGCAAGCTGGAGCTGTTTAGACAGTGTTGTGTCATTGTTGAGAGGAACCTCAAGGCATCACGTCTTGAGCGGCCTGAAATACGTGAGATCCTAGCTGGTTTCCAGTTCAATGAGTTGGCTTGCAGGCATCGGTGTGTGCCGGACCAGTTTTTCGGGAGCCGCGTGTCCACCTCTCGAACACCATCCCCATGTGTTGGCTCTGACTAAGGCAGCTGCTTCTGCTCTATGAGGGGCGGCCACTTCCAGAGGGAACTGGCGGCAGCCGCTTGTTTCAAACATTCTCACTTTTTGCTTCTACTATCTGCCATGATGGTGGTGATGATGATGATGATGACAGAAACCCCGTATAAATGCCTTCTTAGGCCTTCTTGTCATGACGTAAGGACATGAACTCTGGAGCGGTTAAAGGTTTAACGCCGTAGCTGCTGCGCCAACCCCCCCACCTATCCTAAACCAACGTCCCAATGTCTTCCTGGAAGGTTTGGGGTTGAGGGTTTCGGGTTCAGAGTTTAATCTTCTTGCCACATAGGCTTTGTCCAGGAAGCCTGACTAATATCCGGAGTTCCTCCTCTTCTCTTCTACCATTGTGAAGCAACCTCGGCCTGGTACAGTAGCCGCTAGCCTACGCGCACCACATTCCCCTCGACAGAAGAGCACCATCAGACTTACCCGTCCTAAGCACAGTAGCAACCTAAGCAAGATGGCTGGCCTTGGGGCTGACACGCCGTTCACCTGGCAGCAGGCGTGAAGGAAGCAAGTTCTGAGCTGAGCAATGTAACATTTTCAGAGTCGACTGCGAGGCCACATGAACTACACGGAGATTGTGGGCTTTCATGGAACCCTCGACAAAGAGAAGATTCAGAAGTGGCGGTCTGTTGAAGCTGACTTTCCTGGAAAGATCCGCAACGCCCAGCATGTGCCTAGTCTTAAAGTTGAGATTATCCGCCAGCCTGGCCATGCGTGGGCTGACAAAGGCTTTTCTGGTTGGGGCAAATGTAATATGTGAGGGGGCAGTACCCAAGAAGCTCGGAATGACGGTTGAGCATCCTGGTTGACTTTGTTAAGCGTTGTAGCATTTTGCAGCACTGTAGCTTCAGCACCTTACTGCCTTGTTTCTTTGTTGTAGCCTATTTGGACTGCTAGATAGAAGGGCTAGCTTGGCCCAAGATCCAGCTGCAACGCATTTCGGTTTCTACTCGTTTCCATCTCAGGGTCTGGGAGTACGGAGTACTGGCATCAAACTGATGCCTCCTCGGCCACGATGGCCACGTTGCATTGTGCCCTGTAAGTTTAAATCCGGAGGCGACGTAGGCGTAGCTCTTCATTTTGCTAATCTCAGGACACCTTTATTCAGCCAAAGCATCCGGAGTTCCGCGCAGTCTTCGAGGCATTCCCTGTCAGCAAAGCTAGAGAAGGCAAGCAAGGCAAGCAGCTTTACACCTATTTATTAGGATAGCCCAAGTTTGTCCTGGTGCTGATACCCATACAAATTTACTACCACCATCTACCAATACTACTTGCGCCTGCGCAACCACTGCTGTTGCTCTTCTCCTCCTGCTGCCTCTGCTGCTGCGGCAACCAGGCGCGAGAGTATGCGAGAGTCCCGTCCTGCGAACCCTGCGAGCTCCACGGCAGCTCTTTCAAGTACTTCTTTACGCAGCGGAATGGTGATAAAGATGCAAGCCGCAGCTATCAGAAAGCAGCCATTTGACTGAAATGCCAGTCAACAAGTACACCTAAAACTGCAGATCCAGCACCTTACAATCTAGATCCTACATCCTGCAGCCTGAACCCCATGCCGTTACCCTTTTCCGGCAGTTTTGCGCACCTTTTGGCCCCGGGAGGGCTTCTGCCTCGAGCTCATGCGCCTGGATGCCCAGGAGACGAAAGCCTTGGCCAAAGCCAGCCGGGCAGCAGGAACCCAGCAGCAAGTGGTGTTGGTACTTCTTTAAGCTAAGGACGAGAAGTAGCAGGTGGTGGCGGCGGTGGCGGCCGTGTGGCAGTAGGCGTAGGTGGTTGAGGTGGAGGAGGAGATGTGGACGTCACATCCTGCACAACCGACATGCCAGTACCCACAGTCCCACAGTGACGATAGACCATAGCAATAGCATGGCTGTACTGCTCTCCATGCTCTTGGGTAAGAATGCTTGTTGGGTGCCTCCTGAAGCATCATGAAGCTTCCGAATGGCTGGTCTGAGGGATGCCGATCTTGCTAATTGCTGGAGACTCAAGCTCAAACGGGCCTTAGCGGCATCAACCCAAGCTCCCAAGCTCAAGCCAAGCTATGCAGCACTAGCTGGCGGCGTTCACAAGTTGGCAGGAACTACGGTGACAGGAGCAATCGTTGCCGCTGCTCACCTGGCTGTGCTGAAGGCGGGCTCCGGGTGCAGTGAACTCAGCACCGTAAAATCTACTCAGTCTTGGAATTGGAGCCTGAAATCTCAGCCACAAGAGGAGCTTCAAGCAAGAAATCTAGAAGCTGATCGCATCAACATCGGCCTGCTCATGAACGAGCGATCCTTCCTGGAGGCAGGGGCCATGAAATAAAAGGATGGCGAAGGCTTGCATGATAACAGCAGTTTCAAGAGGGATTCGTGGGCCCGCTGTCGGTACATGTGGTGATTAGTATACACCCTAAAACAGGAATTTTCATTTATTGTCCATTCTTCTATATATAACCCCAATATATACCCCATGATTAATACAGCCCAATATTACCCCAATATTACGGCTGTTTGGACCCTGCGGCAACCTGGCCTGGCCTGAGGACAAGCGCTATAATCAGGAGATGGGCAACTTTGCCAGTGCTGTGCACTGGTTCTCGGAAGTCCAGCCCGACTTCTGGCACACTGCCAGGGAGGCCCGAAGATATATGGACCGGATCATACAGGAGGGGGTCAGCTTCACTGGCTTCATCATCCAGAACGAGCCTCTTGGCTTCAGGTCTTAGATTTATGTAAGGTTGGAACCATGCTTCTAACCTTTTTTCCCTGCGCCCCTACACCTTGATGAATGTGAAGCCTTTGAGGCATCACGTCGGGGATAGCTCATGATGGGCTTATTATCACAGGGAGTCGCACAGCAGATAGTCCAGCGCAGAAAGGTTCTCCTCCAAAGAGTTCTTGAAGATGATGGCGAAAAGCTCCCCTGAGCTGATGAGCGCCATGGGGTCGACCTCTGGGGGAGACCACGTGGCTGCACCTTGGGCGGCAACTGCAAGTTGGGATCAGACAAGGTGCTCAGCCAAGTCTTGCTAGTGTGAGTCCGCTTGCGTGGTGCATGCCCCTTGCCTCCTGGGCTTCATCAGATGGACGCTTGACAAGGTATCATCTCTGGGCGTGCTGACAAACTTTGGCAAGTACGACAGCTTCGAAATTGTGGAAAACATTCAGGCCATCTGTCTCTTAGGTCCTAACATGGTTTGGTTGTTTTGTGAATACTTTGCTATACTTTGCTCCTCTGACGTACTGCTAGGGTTGTGCTTTTCTCAGCTGATCGCATTTGCAGATCTCGCGATGCGAGCCTTTGGTTTGACAGGCGGCGCACGCATTGTTCATGTCGGGTATCAACCTCTCTGTCTGCACCAGTGGAGCCTCTGGGTCCCTGGCCATGAGTGTGCAAGTGACTAAGACCCGAGGCAGCAAGTTGTGCTCGTAGAATCCCCTGCCACTTCCCAAGGTATCTGCATGGCCACACGATAAACGAGCGTCATTTTGAAGGCCCCTGATTGGATCCTAAAACGTCAAAGTCAACCATCAGCACCAAGAGCTCTCCAAATGCATCCAAGGAATGTAGTGCCACGAGCGAGAGAGCTGGCCAAAGCAATTTCTGCCCACATCAAGGCCCGGAAGCTCAGTAGCTGCAGAGAAATGCAAGCCTTCAACATAGCGAAGCCAGCTCAACTTGATTAATCACCGAAAGAGCATTATCAGCACGTGACGCCCTTGAAGTAGAAAAGACTCGAATGTGGGTGCTCGTGAAAGATGCTCAGCTTTCTTGGAAAATTATGGTCCATTTGCTGAGGGATCCCGTTAGATAGCCTGCTTTTTTCGCAAAGGTTTGTCGGGGCATGTATGGCAGGTGAACCTGTGCAAAGGTAGAAACTGGAGTCATACAGGGAGAGTAGCTGTTACTACATGGTTCTAGATTCCCTACGCCCTATACAGTTATGCTACAGGCATGTACAGTCCACCTCAAAAAGACCTTAAACTTGTATTGGTGATCATTTAGGCTCCTGTATTGCGCTTCCAGAAGATATTGCATTCCCGAGAGCATTCCCCAAAGCAACGCGCCAGCCGGTTTGATTCCAAATCTTGTGCTGAAGTTGGGATGCGCATGGCAGCAAACAACAAGGCCCTTTGCACCACGCATCTTAAACTCGAAGCCCCAGACTAACTCAACCTTACATCCTCAATCCTAAGCGCTAATCCCCAAGCCCTGAACCCCAAACCTTTAAATCCTAATCTTCAAGTCAGTGCTAAACCCCAGACCCCAAGCCCTAAATCCTACACAGGTCCAATAAATGAGATCCTCAATCCTATAGTCCTCCTGAAGTAGATAGAGTATGGATTTCCCCCAACATCATAAGAAGATCCCCACATACCCCATACTCTACTCCTGGGGGACTATGCGCTAAACCCTAAACCCTATTCTATCTACTTAACAAAAATTCGAAGCCCCATATAACCCCAATATAACCCCAATAAGACCCCTATAGAACCCCTATCTAGCCCCAATATAACCCCTATAGAACCCCTATAGAACCCCTGTCTAACCCCTGTGTAAGCCCTATAGAACCTCTATATAACCCCTATGCAACCCCAATATAATCCCTATCGAACCCTAATATAGCCCGAATATAACCCCTATAGAACCCCTATCTAACCCCCTATATAACCCCTATGGAGCCCATATCCTTAGATAACACCAATAAAACTAATATAACTCCAATATAACCCCTATAGAAGCCTCGTATAACCCTCATATAGGGGATAATAAGACCACCAGGAGGCCTTGAGCCAGCCGCCCCCGGTTGCGGTGGGCGAAGGGGAATCTCTGAGCCCGGTGGCTGCTAAATTGAAGGAGACGTGTGAGGCTGAGGGTTCGGGGTTAAGGGGTTTAGGGTTCCGGGTTTTGGTGTGTAGCGTTGAAGGTTGAGGGCAGTGGGTTCAGGGTTGAGGGGTTGAGGATTTAGGGGCTTTGGGGTCAGGGTTGAGGGCCAGGTTTCAGGGTTTCAGGGTTTAGGGGTTTAGGGGTTCAGGGTTGCGGTTTGGGGTTCAGGGGCTTAGGGGTTTAAGGGTGTAGGGTTTGGGCTTTAGCCGTTTAGCGTTTGGGGTTTAGGGGCTTAGGGTTTAAGGGCTTAGGGTTGGGGGTTCAGGGGTTTGGGGCTTAGGGGTTGAGGGTGTAGGCTCTGGGTTTAGGGTCTGGGGTTCTGTAGGGCTTGCAGATTGCCTGGTTCATGAAATACGGGGTTTTGCTAGAATGACCAACGTTCCTCACGAAGGACGCCCCCCCAAAGTAGAAGGATCCCTCCATTGACCTACCTAACCCCAATATAGCCCCTGTAGAACCCCTATATGACCCCATAGAAGCCCAATATATCCCCTATAATTAGAACCTTATATCCAGGAGACCCCTGGCTCTGAAAAGCTTCTACATGGTTTTAATGGGATATGTTTCAGGGAGTGGGTTAGCTTCTTGTTTGCAATTCTTGTTTTGTCTGGGCTCATATCGAAATGTAGTGAGTAAGAGGGAGCCCATCACTACCCCCAGGAGCTGGGATTCAGATTCCACGACAAAAATGGGCCACAGTTTTGGGATGCAATCCTTGACGGCTGCTACATCAATTCCTCACAAGGTTTCGGGGACAAAGGTCTTATCCTGGATTTCAGTGTGGCTTTTGTGACAGCAGTATGTTGGCAGTGACAGGCGATGATGCAGCGGTTTCATGCGGACTTCGTGGCAGAGGGCACATACCACGATATCATCGAGAGAGCCACAATCTTTCCTACGCACGTGTACTTCCAAAGCCCTGCCATATCATCCAGAAGGTGGCTCATGTCCGACATCATCCCAACAGAATCCCAACAAAAGCTCGACTGATTCTTACGGAATTTCACATTTCCTGCGTCATTTGCAGAGACCTCTCTAGCCCCAATTTGGTGATTCAAGGTGAGGACCCCATGCAAAACCCCTCCACACCCTCATCATGAGAGACTTCAAGAGGGATCCAGCTCTTGCAAAACCCATGACATCCATGCAGCGTTCCTAGAACCAGCCCAGAAAGTTCTAAACAAGCCGTGTGTACATCCTCCCAAACATGGAGCCAGGCCCTAGCACTGTGAAAGCCGCTATATACCCCCAAATCCATGCCGACCACCTCTAGCCATGCCCGAAAAAAGTAGCAGACAATTCATGTGGGCGCCTGAGCTCACGCGATTTTCGTTACCCCTTTTAAAAGGCCCTTTTACAGCAGTCCTAGATACAGGACCCCATGAATTTGGAGGATGGAGGACATCTTGCGTTGCCTTAATACACCCCATACCCCAATGACTACAATAGCTTGGGGATTTTGAGTCCTCCACGGATAACGCGCGAAGATCATGGAGCCCTTGATTGCGAAGAACAAGGCCAGGCTTGCGGGCGCCGCACGGCTTCTTGGATCCTACAAGGGTATGTGAGCTATAGCCTAAACTCCGTAAGGACTATATATGCGTCCGCGCTCCGCGTTCTCAGCCCCCCCCTCCCCTCCCTTCCCTACAGGACTACAGGACCACAGGGGGGGTACCTTCAAAAGCTTCCACTAAATACTCTATAAAACCTGCATAAGACCTCTACGAAACCTCAGGAGAACTTTCCAAACTGCCTATAACAGCTATAACCCTCTGTAAGCCTTCTACAACTCTATAAAAAACTTGTATAAACCCTCTAGAAATAATCTTTCTCTATAAGATCTGTATTAAACTTTATCAAACCTTCAGAAGAAACCCCTTCAACAAATTCTCTTGAGACCTCTAAACACATGCTATTGAATAAACGAACTGTCTGCAAGCCTTCTTTAAATCTTATAGAACCCCTCCATAAAAACTATAAGCTTCTACAAACTTAATCTAAACCTCTCAATCAAACCACCAAATCCAGACCACGGGACAACAGGAACACAAGGGGGGGGTATTATAGGGATTATTAAGGGGGATATTAGGAGTTACTGTAGCTCATGTAGGGGAATGTTGAGGATTTGGGGATCAAGGTTTACGTAGGGTTTCTGTTTTTGTCATTGCCTTTAGTCAGGCTTATAGTGTTTTGAAGTTTTTTGGGGGAACCGCCATGTGTAACAGTTCGCCCAGCTGGTCCCCCCCACCTATGACCGGTTACTTAAGGGTTAACGGTAGTTCTATGACGGTGCGCTTCCAGTAGTGGGAGGGTGGAGAATCTGAGAGTGGGTGGGTGGATAATCAGATATCTACCTTAATACCGTATTCTTCTGCAGGGACTATGGAGACATAATTTAGGGACACAGAGGGTTTATCAAGTTGTGGGTCCCTCCTTGGCTCGGGTACTCAGGGCGTCCACAGGTTTACTCTAATTTGAGTAACCCCCGTACTAGGTGGCAGCACAAAACAGTAACGAGTGCAATCATTGGGCTGATAACAGAAACACTTCTAAACAACCAGCAAAATCCTTCTTGGATTTGCTTCACGACTGGTACCCGGGCAGCTGTCATGTAGCAATGAAAATATCGCTTTTTAAGTCGTCGTCGTGCTGGCCGTGGTTGTGGTTGGGGGAGTGGTAGTGGTAGCAATAGGAGTGTCCGCAGCAGTAGCCTTAGTAGAAGTGATAGCAGTAGCAGTACGTGAATTACTAGCTATTACTAGCATCAATCTTATTAATAGTAAGAACGGTAGGAGGAGGCAGAAGAATGGCTATCGTCATGATGATGGTAAGCAGAGTGGCAGGATAGGCGAACAGTGAACGGGGGTGAAAGTGATGCAGGTATGCGCTGCAAGAATCGTAAGAATGAGGGCCGTAGTGGGCCGTAGGGACAATAAGCATGAAGCGCGCGGAGTGGCCGGGAAAACGATTGTTGCCAGTGTATGCTATGTACAGCAGCCATATAGTCCCAGGTCTTATTTTTTCAGAGGATTCGTGAACTCAGGACTGCCCACGGAACATCTGCCATGATGGGAGACATCTCGGGTGCCTACACCTGGAAAACCCACATTTTGGTGCCTGTGGTGACTGTATCTGGGTTGCTGTTATGTAGTGATTAATACGGTTACAGCAACTCAAGTTAGGTTCCTTAGCAGCAACCCAGGTATTTGCCATTCTGTCTGCTGGGCCTCTTCAGGCCTTCCCTCTGTACGTGAGGCTGCCTGTGCCGAAGTACAGGGAAGTTGATTTGGTAGTTTCCCAAAATAGGGGGACCCCATGTGGACCCCAATATATTATAATCCTTATAAAAGGGACCCCCGAAAAGGAATCCCTAATTTTGGCAAACCTCTATGATGTGAGCAGCTAGCTGCAAGCTGCTAATTAATGCAGGCTTCTATTGAAGATCATAGATGGGAGTCGTAATCAGGGAAGGCTAGGCTTCTATCTATACAGACAATCATATAATTATTGGGTAATAGCAATGGGTTAGTAATGCGCTGCCCTGCAGGCAGCTGGTCGATGCTGGGGTCTTCAACTGGGCTTGTGATCAGGGCGTCAGGACGTGTCCGGAGCAGGAGGAAGCCTTGCAAGATCTCTACACCAGCACATTTTCGGCACAGATGCGCTTCTTTATTTTGGTGGGACTGGCTTATGATATGCACCTCGGCAAATTGACAGCTGAGTAGCTCTTCACCACGTTTTCACGTCCCTGAACACACGATGCCTGAAACCAGCCTTGACCCAAAGCCACAACACTCACACAACGCAAAGCCTTTTCCTCAACTCCTGAATCTGGGCCTCAGCACAAGACCCGGCTTCTGGACTACTGCCCAACAGATGTAGGTGGAAGAGATGGGATCCAAGCATCCCCCCCCCAGCTGGGCTGGGGAGCACGCCGTGATGGGGAGTTGTGTTTGGAACGTCCGTATCGCCCAAGACTCCACCCTAAGAACGGTAAGCCCAAACCCACTCTCAGGATTTGTAGCTTAGATCCGGATCCATAGGCCGTGCCGTCGCAACCTGCCCAGAGGTACGGAGCTCGGGTGGCATCATGCCTCGGCGCGTTAACTGCGGGTCTTTGCTTTGTGGGCCTGGCTTTCATGTCCTCATTGGACTCCCAGGCCTCCATGTTTCAATCTCTTGGCTTCGGGGTGTGTAGTGAGGGAGTGAACGTGATCCTGATCCCAAGCGAGTTTTTGTGGGTTGTGAGGGAACTTGGGCCACCCTGGAAGAGTGTTTTCCTTGACGCAGAGCCTTCACGTGCGACACGAGGTTCTAAGCCCGGTTATATGCGAATCTGGTTTTGCTTGTGAGCCCTCAGGAGGTCTTTTTTCTATGCACCTGCATGTTCTGTCAGTCTTTACGGGACTCACATATTAATATGAATAATATTAACAATCAATATTAATACTATTAATATCAATATTAGAACTATTAATATTGGTAATATTAATAATATTACTAATATTAAGAATATTAATACTTCAATTGGAGCACTGTGACCTCAGGCATGGCCTTTGACGCAACGGATCGTGATGCCGCTTGCCTTTCACTTTTGCAACTTTGGAATCAAGTTTAAGGCCTCTCATGCGATGGAAAGCAGGGTCTGCAAGGATCCAAGTTACCACAGATCCACAAGAGAAGTTCACAGAACGTACCACTGGGGTAAGCAAACGGAACTCAGTGCCGCTGGGAAATTCTCAGGGGCGAAATGCGACTGTCTGTACCAGCCCAAGACACACTTTACAAAAGGTAGTTCAGCCACATGGGGTTCGCAGGTGAAGCTTTCAATATGTGGGTGCATCACGAAGTAGAACAGAAGGACCAACATTTCTGCAGGCTGCCCACCACCCACCCAGCAAGCAGCGACTGACATTTCTGCTCATGCAAGGAGTGCTTGTCCTTTTGAATCAGACGTGTTAAGCAGGAACAGCTTGTCCTCGTTGCAGCTCAGATAAAAGCACCTTCCAACAAATGCTTCGCGGGATGCAAGTACCTTGCACGTTTGTGACTCAACAAGGTATTTCTGTTTTCTTTTTGCCGACCTCGGTGGTAACTTGGCATCCTACAGCCTCTTGGGATGGATGTGGCATTATCCATTGCTGCAGCTCAACTGAGATGATAAAGAGACCCATGGTCCGGGTACGGGCATAGCTTAAACCCAGTAGACCCGAAAATCCCACTGCTGCAACCAAGGCAGACATCTTTCATTGGCCTCAGCAACGCTGCAACACAGGCAGGAGCTGGTTGTGAAAAGGAATATTATACTTCATGTAGGACACTTAGATCTAGTCATAACATGGCTGTCGCATGTCTGAAGAAGCTAGTTCTTGACTCTTCGCGCCACCTGGCGGAGTATTTGGCGCTTCTGCTCGATGTGGAGGCCTCTGGAGCGCTGGGCTTCGTTTTTGACACCTTGGCTGAAGACGGCTACACAATCGTGGAGACCTTTTTGGTCTTGGCCGGCCTGAGCCTATTGTCCCGCTGCTGCACCGAGATCTCGGCAAAGAGTTTTTCATTCTAGTCAGACTGGACAACTGCACACGCCTTAGATCCAAGGTCTGGGCTTGTTTTCATGTTGAGCTGCCCAACCAAACGTGAGACGCTGACGCAAGCTGGACGAGTTCTCAATACTCATCCGACAAGCCTGGACGTCTATTCAATAGTAGGATGGCTGGCCATCAAGCACTCGGTCAAGGAGGCTGTCGGAGTCTTCAATCTCTATCCAGTGCAGAACACCTGCATGCTGCTTTACATCAGCTTCTTTATGGCTGGCGTGCTGACCTGTTTCAGCGGGCTCGAGGCTCGTTATCGCGCATTGTTTGACCCCGACGATGCTGAGAGCCTGCTGGCCGCGTATGCAGCACTTATGGCGGTTTTGGGGATCGGATTGAACCCCGCCGCTGGCTTGCTGTTTGATTATTTCGGATTTGTAAACATTTTCATATTTACGTCATTTCTGGCGCTGCTGGTCCCTTTGACGTTGATGGTGCCAATATTCTGGGCGCAGCTGCTCAACATAATCTTTCTGGTCACGTGGTTCAGCCTATTCCTGAACGATGCTTGGCAGCAAGTCTGGCAGCAAGGCAAAAGCCTGTGAAGCTGTAATCTGCTGAGGGTACCTGACACAAGCTCACGCTTAAGATTCTGAGCATGACTTCAGAGCAAGACACATTCTTGCTGGCCTCCCCTGGCCGCTCAGGTGTAAAGCTACTTGTAGCACTCAGCTTGTCTTGTGGCCTGCGGTGTCTGATCAGGTCATTTCGCGGTATTCCGTGACCTTTGCTCCTCCAGATTTCTTCGGAACATTTACAGGCCTGGACTAGGAGCATGCCTGCACCTCGAGCGCAAGTTATGCGTTGTCCTGCGCTGCAGGCTTCCTGACCTCGTTGGCCGGAATAGCGGCTTACTTGGCGGATGCAATACTGGAGCAACACAGCCTTATTTCAACCGCAGCCCTTACAATGCTCGTGGGCTGGGGCTTCAGTGTGTATTTGGCAGTGATTATGCATCGTGAAGATGGCCTGCCATACAAACCTCCAAAGAATCGCTTTGGCTAGCTTGGCTAGAGGATAGGGAGCAGTGCGGCTAGAAAATATCGCCCAGAACTGCCTTTTCCGTCAACCAGGCAGCTGCATCTATCCGCCCAGGTTTGGCAGCGTAGTCGGATTGATTGAGAGAGCAAATCTGCCAAAAAGGGGCACCAGCCTCCTGCCATGCAAGTCAGTTGACAATTGCCCTCCAGTTGCCCACACAAACAGAACCAGAAAATCCGATGCTCCTGCCTCCTACGGAATTTGCTAAGGCGGACTATCTGAAAGCAACCTCGCTCGGGACCCAGCTGTTAAGCAGTTCTGCCAGGTAACGCAGCCGAGTGCTCTGTCATATCAGTCAAGTCCACTTGTGTAATCTCATGCGCCGAGTTGCACTAGCCAGGGCTGGGCACCTTCCAATGCAAGCTCCAACGGCCTGTCCGAATCACAACGCTGTTGACCGAAGGCACATTCCGTCCTCCTTCTTCAACAATGCTGCGGCAGCGCTGTTGGGGTTGGACAAGTCTGAACCTCATTGTGCATTGCGCCACTGAAAGCTTGCTTAGCGGATGGAAGTTGCCTTGCAGTGCACAATGCTGCCCAGGGACAAGGAAGGAGCGAAAGATGGTGAAAAGCCGGTATCTTAACATCTGCGCATCCAGCTCGCGATTCCATCTGACGCAGCCCTGCCTCAAATCATGTCATAGAATGGGCCCTGGTTGAAATGGCAGATTACAGCTGATCATGTTGAGAGCAGGGCCCAGAGCTCGTACAAGCAATTCGCAAAGTCCCTGAGGAAAGAAGAATCCAGAGAAGGCCGTCGGAGTATGGAAGCAGCTTGCTGGTCTTTCAGGGTAGAATTGGAGGAGGCAGACAAGCAGGATGGGAACAGAAAAAGTTGAAGTGTGTGGCCTGAACCCAAACGCCTCAAATTTCTAGACATGCCTGTAGAAGTCCGTTGGATGTCTTAGCAACCTGACCTTCACAAGAGCCCGCCTGCTTTCCAGGGAACGATGGGCTTGGAGCTTGGCTTGACTGTTTGGTTTCAGAAGGGGCCACTGACGCCTCTCGAAACCTTCATGAAGAACCACATTCGCCTTGCCTGAAATCAGTGCGTTGAAGTTTCAAGTCATGGGAATAGGCAAGCAACGCTTTATCATTTCCGCAGGGGATGCCGTAGAATCCCGAGGTCCAAGTCCACGCCGCTTTCCGGCTGGAAGCCAAGCTCGTTTCCATGGATTGACGATTGAACTCCACATCTTTTCTAGGCAGTTTGCCAACAAGAAACCACAATTAAGAATTTCTGAAAAGGATTCCAAAGTGGGCGATAACTGGCTCTGTTCTCAAGCCTGCACAGAGTTGGTGTTCAAACGGGCTATGCGCCAATGGTGCATTTCGTGGTCCACGTGGTCGGGCAGGAAAGAAGCGAACCGTGTGTTGGGGAGATATTGGGCCCTTGCTTTTTGGCATGCCCACATTCATTTCGAACAGTTTTTTGAAAGGCCTCAGTTGAAGAAGGAGTATGCGCATACATCTCAGATGGGTCATGAAAGACATAGGACCCACGAACTAGGTTTGATTACCTAAGGCGCTGCTGACAGGCTTTCCTATGTGCACCCCAGAGTAGCCAGGCCTCACAAGCTAGGGTCCTGCAAACAGGCATTCAATCTCACATAGCACTGACACTGTTTATTGGCATGCATGCCCTCCAATGACTAAACAAGTAGCAGATAGTTTTGATTCTCCTCGAACAAGGATACACAACATTGACAGTATTATCATCACAAGAAAAAACACCAACGCTGTTGTTATATTCTTATTAGTAGTTAGTATTTTGAGTAACCTTGGCATTACTATTGTTTTTACTACTGTTGTGATTATTGTCATTGTAGTACTATCATAAACCAACCTTCAGGCATCATGCCGGAGGAGCCCAAGAGCATGAGTGCACCCGGCCCGGGCCCAGGCCAGCTGGGCCTTCAGAGTCTTCGGGCTTTCTTAGAAATTTGGGGTTCATAGAAGCAATAGTAATAGTAGCAGCATAGTAATAGTTGTAGTAGTACTTGATGTTCTTTTAAGGAGATTGAGCAAATGGGTTTGCGGCAGTGTCGCTGGGTCTGCCAGGCATGCCAGCCTTTGGCGGCGCTCCCAAGGGCAGCCTCCTCGGTTCAGCCTTAAGACAAAGGTGGACCAAAATTTTGTGCAACCGAGGTATGTCCATGCCGGGCCCAGGCATGTCCATGCCAGGCCCGGGCATGTCCATGCCTCCTGGCCCTGGGGGCACTGTGTCTGCATTTAATGCCCATCCTTGATGTGTTGACGACACTTACCTGAGCTTAGAACGTGCCCAGGCATGGGAATGGGTGGTGCTGCGAAGGCGTCAGAAGATGTTCTTTGCAGAGCTAGCTGCAGGGTGGATCCGCACCTAGCGTTGATCTTTTGAAGTGATGTGCGTGCCACAGTCCGCCGGCCTCCCTGCAGCGATGATGGCCATGAGAAAGCCAGATGAGGTCCAATCTGGGTACTGCAAGAGTCTTTTTGCGATCGCTGGTAACCCTCAAAGTTCACTGTCTTGCAGGGTCCGCCCAAGACGAGCTGGCCTCAGCGTGCCTTTTCGTATTCTGGGAGCCTGTGCCTGGCCAGTGCTGGCTGGCTTAAAGTGAAAAAGATAACTCAATGCTGTACAAATCCGAGGATCCCGCCCAAATTTGGGGCGCCTGCACCGCCTCCCATCCCGGTCAAGTCGGTGCGCAGGGATGCTTGCAGGGGCTGTCGTGTGAAGGAGAGCATGGTAGACATTGAAGGATCGGGTCAGTAATTCTTGGACATTGTGAGCATTCAAACGGCGAGTTACTTTGCCACCTGCTCCAGGGCATGCCTCTGCCACCGCCCGGGCAGCCGTGGGGAGCTTTGACGTGGTAGCTTCTCAACATCCTTGAAACATGAGTTTGCATAATCCTGAATAATCACCTTCTACTTCATAATTATAGCCCCATATATCCCGCATGCTCCTTCCAGGCCTCTATTTGAGAAACCCCCCTGTGTCGATCGCTTGGATCTCTGATGACAATTCCTCAGGGAAACTCAAGGAATAACAGAATGTTAGGCTCTGCCCAGAGATATGCAAGAGCTGCAGCTCCTGCAATCAAGACAGCTAGCAGAACACTCTTTGTCACCTTGCCTCGAGCACAGACATATGGAAGCAAGATTGACAAGCATTAGGCCACGGGTTGTCCATGGTGTTTTGAGGTCGCCAACGCAAACCGCATCTGCTTTTGAAGTCTTTTGATCACATCTCAGCTGTTGTGGTGCCAGTGCGGCTGCGACCCTCAGGTTCCCCCCGAAGCCTGGCGCCATGGCCATGATTCCGGCGAAGTCTGTCGGTGCCCAAGACAGCTGGCTCACGCTGGCTTAGCATCTGGTTAAAGTTCTTATGGCTTAGCGGCTCGCTTCCTAAGGGCAGTGGCCCTTGTGGCCCAGGGCCCTGCTTCAGCACTGGGCCCGGGGGACCAGGGCCAGGTTCTCAGAACCAGCAAGCTTGAAGGCCTTTTTACCTCTCTGCTTCAGCGCATCGGCTGGACGCTTTGTGCATTTCATGTCATTGTGCTCCTGTCTTGCTACTCATGCTGCAACTCCAAGAGCTGAGAAGACCGAAAGCTGAGAAGATTGGCGTTGCAGTGCTATCAGGCCCATGGGGATGGGAATGATGCCGCCGTAACAGCCTCAGCTTGCAATCTTTGCGAATGGCAGTGTGTCAAATCGGTGGCGTTCATAGGCAGCCAGACTCAGGAAGCCTCCAGGGGGCGGGGGCAACAAAGATGACAGCGACGATTCAGATGATGACTCCAGCGACGATGATGGCGCTGGGCCAAACCCAATGATGATGTTAATGATGCTGCGACTTGGTTGCACAAAGTTGCGGTCGATTACTGCCGTCTCATAGTCTGACAGGATTCCAGCATATCATCATGAACAACTCGATCACGCACACCTTACGCATGCCAAGCCATGGCGCATGCGCGTGCCAAAGTGTGAATAGCCTCGCTTTGTTTAGGAAGCAGATGCAGACTGCCGTGATGACCAATATGGCCAAGGCATGACAATGCTCTTGGCATGGTGTATTCAATCTTCGCAGTTGCCACTATCAACTGACCAGCTACATTACATTAGACTTCCTGCACATGTCTGCCCATGATGTAGGGTTCATCAGTTCAAAGCGGTCCAAAGGCCTCACAAGGGGCCCCAAGATGTAGGAGGGACCTGCGGCTGCAAGAGGACTGTTTGTGCCAAGACGGGCGCGTAGCTTGGCAAACTATGAGCTGATCCTTCTGAGGAATGGTACCAGCACTTCATCGCACTGTCAGAACGCAAAATGCATGTGGTACCTTGTCGCTTTCTCTGCTTGAGCCAGGCGCCGCCTGAGATGCAAGAGCAGCAGAAGATGCTCCTCAATATGCAGCAGCAGTTCGAGGTCGGTGTTTCGGCTTCGAGCATGACTCGCATGATGTGCGATTGCAGGGAGCTTTTGCGCTTGTCCTGACATGCCTGCGCTGTTGTCTGCAGTGCGCGCGATGCTTGTGCTTGCGTGCCTCTGTGCATCAGTCCACGCTCATGGCGAAGATGGGCATGGAGCTGCGCTCTTAGCTCGCTGCGCCTGCAAGCTCTCTGACGGTACCAGCGACGCGCGTCTTGTCGTAACGGCAGGTCTGCCGGCGGCTCATCGTGCGGCCCTAAAGTGGTGAGCAAGTGCGGGGCCAAACTTCAACCGCAGCTGGACTGAGGCCTTCAGACATGTCAATGTTTCCGCCTCCGGGAATGGATGGGCCTTGCGGCGGATGCGGGGGTTGTGGAGGATGTGGTGGTTGCGGCCCTGGTGGTTGTGGCCCTGGTGGTTGCGGCCCCGGCGGGTGCGGCCCCGGCGGCCCTGGTGGTTGTGGCCCTGGCCCTTGCGGTGGCTGTGGCGGCTGCGGCGGCTGCGGTGGATGTGGAGGTTGTGGAGGTTGTGGAGGCTGCGGCCCCGGCCCTTGCGGTGGTTGTGGTGGCTGTGGCGGGCCTGGTCCTGGATGTGGTGGGTGCGGCTCCTCGGCGGCATGTCATCCACTCACTGCTGTCAATAGTTTGGTAAGCTCCGCACATGTCATCGCCCGTATTTGCAAGGTGATAAGCCCCGGCAGGACAGGATTTCTGCGGTTCCTGTGAACTCACTGTCATAGCAGGTCACTGCTGTGCAAATTGCCATGGCTCGAGCATGACTGCTTGCAAGTGGCCCTAGCATGTGCAAGTTGAGATCAGGTACGGTGGCCAGTTCTGAGAGCAGAGTTTATACGCCGTTGCTGCACTTCCTTCATGAAGGGCCAAGATCTGCAGAAACATCCCTGCAAGGACAGCGGCAAGTCCTCTCTCCCTGCTGCCCTGGCAAATAAGTCATGTACTGAGACGCTGCATGCCTTGCATTTTATCTTTCGGGGATGCTTTCGCAGAGCAACTTTGTTTGCCATACAGCCTCTTTCAGGCAGAAGATGGATGCCTCCAGCAACTTGATGAGTGTGGCATCTTCTGCATCAGCCGCATCACCGAACGCCCCTTGCCAAGTAGCACGTCCAAGCTCATTGCGTTGGTTTCGCAAAGCATTACAGAACATGAGCGGGGTGATGCACATCATGAGAAGTCCACCTAGCGAAGCCTTGTACCAGCAAATTTGGTGTGAATCATTGCACTATGCTAGTTTGATAATATACACTACTTTTGCAGGGGTTATTAAAGGGGGGGTACTAGGAGTTTAGACTATCTCATACATCCCTATAAACACCCTCAGTTTCTATTTCATTGTCCGTTTTCTCTTCCATTTGATTCTCCAACATTGAAATTATGTATCCCTAAACCCCTAAACCATAAACCCTAAACCCTCTCAAATCGCAGGTTCATAGCCCGCCCAGAAGCCTTGCTTACCCCCGATGGAGAGAACCATATGGTCCCAAATTACCTCTATATTCTATACCCTAAACCCTAAATAGTACTTTCCATGGTCTTTTTCAATCATCACATAAACCCTATACTATACCCCTATTGTTAAGCCTATGTACTTGTAACTAACAGAAATACAGGTAACAATATGTATTAATTGTACTGATAGTAGTGATAGTCATGCTGATAATGATCATATGGTACTTTCCCAAAATAGGAGGAACCCCAATGTAGACCCCAAAATACTATAATCCTTATTATAGGGACCCCCAAAAAGGGTACCCCCAATTTTAGGAAACCCCTAATCCCTATGAACTACCCTAGAATCCCAGTTTCCATTTCATTTTCCATTTGCTTTTCCATTTGATTCTCCATTATAGTAGGTACCCCTTTTTTTTTGGGAAACCCTAAACCCTAAGTAGTAGTTTCCATTTTCTTTTCCATTATCCCTATATATACCCCATATGACCCCATATAGTCCCATATTACCTGAAACGCCCAGGCCATGTTGCCCTCCAGCATGGCCGGAGCCTGAAAGTCCGAGTTTAGGGTTTTGGGGGTTTTAGGTTTTGAGGGTTCTAGGGTTTTAGGATTTTAGGGTTTTAGGATTTTGGGTTTTTGGGGTTTATCGTTTGAGCGTTTAGGGTTCAGGACTTAGGATATCACCTGGCGTTACGTGGTAAGACAATGTCGATTGCAACATAGGTGGGCTTTTGTTAGGCCAGAAAATTTTCAACTCGAGGAATTCTGCATCCACCCAAGAGCTGGGATTCAGATTTCGAATCCAGAGATCGCGTGTCTGTGAGCTGCTTCCAAGTGTCATCCTCCCATAGGGTACCCATAATATGTTTGCTGTAGAGGATGGGCTCCCACAGGCCATGAGGCTTACCACACTTTGATATCAAAGTGGATCCTGCTTGCCAAAATTACAAGTCCCTGTATTGCGTGTGTCCTGCAAAACCTCAATGCCTGCGCTTCAGAATTCTCTTTGCCGAGAGGCCCCTCCCGCCATTCCTTGCTGGTTGAGTGTCGCAGATCCCCCCAAAAGATTAATACTACTACTAATAATAATAAACCATATACACTCCAATGGTCATGTGTTTCATGTTTTTCAGCGTGCCTGCTGTTGTCGATTGCGGCATCCAAACGCGTGGCCCCGATGTAAATTTTTGCGGGGGACCCCTGTTTTGAGGATTCAGCCTACAGCTCAGAAGCAAAAACCTGGGAATTATGATGCTATATACTATATACTGGGTCTGTGGGCTCAGGGTTTAGAGTTGAGCCATGGTACTGTTATGTACTGCAAAAATGCAGACCATCTTGCATAGTGTGGTTGCTGCGAAGGAACTCAAAGAGTAACCACAATTTGGAGATGTGACAAACAGAAATGTGTCCTTATAATGGCAACCTTATTTGGGCTCCTGGGCAGAGCCCTGAACCCCTTTAACTCATCTCTCAACCCTGGAATCCCCAACCCCAGAGCCTAATCCCTAACTCCTACACCTGATACATAGCTATAGAACCTACACATCCCTATGCATTCCTATACATCCCCATAGCCCCCTATACCTATGTAGCCCTATATATCCGTGCACCTCCCCTGTTTTGAGAAGCTCCTCAATGCCCTGAGCCATGCAGGGGCTGCCCGCCGCCCAGGCCATGGCAGCTGCCTAAGCCTCAGAGAAAACAGAATCTGAGTGGTTTACGGTTTAAGGAAAACTTGCAGTTTAAGGGTTTAGGTTTCGAGGGGTTGAGGATCTGTGTGCGTGTAGTGGGAGCTTAGGGGCTCACGGGCCCCTGCATCAAGATAACTACCAGGGTTTCTGGAAGTATTATGCAGGGATTGTAACGCTGTAGGAGGATGATGCGCAGTTATTTCTCTACATGACGGTCCCGCATAACAAGCTATAGAGAAACAAAACATGGACCACCTGGGAGTTGCTGTAAATGATGATCGGGTCAGTATTGTGGACGGCCAAGCCATTAGTATGAATCCTTGAATGACCATCTCTACCGCTGCTTTATCATCCTCCACAAGAGACGTAACATGCTTCTACTAAGCGGCAGCAGCACAGACAAAGGTGTGTTATGGCTTTCCTGATCTTGTCTTGCATGTAGGGCAATGCAGGGATGCTGAAATCGGGATGCAAAACGGGCTGCAGGGAGGGCAGCCAAACAGGAAAGATTGTCCATGCACATTATCAACTGTAGGATATATGGTAGTTTTCCAAAACAAGGGCACCTCAATGTAGACCCTAAAATATTATAAGCCCCATTATAGGGACCCCCAAAAGGTACCCTCTGTTTTGGGAAACCAAGTTCTTGAAGTGCTGGAACTAAGAAATTGCGTTGGTCTCGTGCAAGGCTGGAGCTACGCCTGAGATGCTGCAAATGATGCAGCAGATGATGGGCATGAACTCAGGCGCCAGAATGGGTGCGGGATGGTCTCCAACATATTCTGGAGGTATCCATACCAAACTTTCTTCCCCATACCTCGCGCTATCAGAAAGTACGCGGCCCGCAGGACACATGCTGGCAGAAGAACTTTGGTCCCTAGATAGAAGAGCGATTCCTATTGCTACCTTACCTGAACTCCCTGGAGCAGGCGGCTTTGTTGATCCCGGACAAAAAGGAGCTGTCTCCGGCTCAGGGGTAGGCTTGCCTGTCCATGCTTGATGACATGTATCTTAGCTTGTTGAGCGGCGTTTGGAACAGGACCGCGACTTGGAGCCCCAGTTTAGCGGCTGTCCACGGTGCTCCAACGTGATAAACAGGATATAAATGAACTTTCACATGCTCAAGGGCCAATCATATACTGCTGCTTTGTCTGCTGGCACCAGCATGGATGTTATTGCCGTTATGAAAATTGTTACTACCATTGCCACTTGCCACTTCTCATGGCTGCAAGCACCAGCGGCATGCTAAGTCTGGCTAACACATGGCTGGCATGGTGATCTTTTTTGACATCATGAAATACTTCAATAGATCCTAATCCTTCAGCATCTAGCTGCATACGGTCCATACATCAACGGTCAACTCACTTTTCCTCATCTTCCTCTACACGCATCTGTACACACACTTAGTACACTTAGTATACACAGCATGTGTATGTACGTATTTACATTGATACTACACGCCATATATATATATGTATATATG